GTGTGTGTGTATTATTATATAAGTATATATATATATATATATATATATCTGTCTCTGTGTGTGTGCAGACGATTATGTTAATAGTAAACATTCAAATTGAAAGAATATATCTATAATGGTATATAGAACGATGTATATATATTGCTGTGCTGGTATTATATGAAAGCGAATTGATGCTCATTTTCGAGTGGATGTACCTACCATTTTGGAGATATTTTAGTAGGTATACACACCAACGCATATGTGTGTTTATATTTTTATATGGATTCCGTACATATGTACTAGATGCCATTGAATCCACAAGACATGGTTGGCTTTTTTATGTTGCGCACGTCGTTCACTTGTGCACGGATCCATAGGCTCACTTGAACACCACATCCATATCGTCGCTAACTATGTCATGTACACGTGAATATATGTGTACGTGTAAATTGTTGTGTATGTGCAAATATATGTATAGTGCGATACAAGCATGTGCACACGTACTTATCACGCCGCTTCGATCCACATCCATGCTGTTTGCACGCAGTGTCTATCAGGCATAGCTCATAGTCGGATGTCTTCGGCAGAAGCACGGCCGTCACTTGATGAATACTTCAATGTATCTGTTAGATAGCAATCCACATGGATATCTACTGTAGGCTGCAATTGATTGCTGTTGTGTAGCAATGCGCATCCTGTACCGATCTTTACTTTCATTAAACCTTGCACATGTCGAGAAATCCCGCAATTTTTTGTATACCCATCTCCGCTGGTCTGTTCCATATCAACTCATTGTCATTCTTCTGTGGCCCACCACCTCCATCAGTGCACCAGTAGAGCCAGTTGTGGCTTCCGCCACCGCAGAGACTCCCGACCAAGATGAACTCGAGCTGACGTTCCCTACGTTGCCACCCAGGCGTGCGAAGAAAACGGATCATTACAACATATCAGGGCAGGACCGCTCTCGAGGCAGCGCCGGGGATAAGGTAAGCCAATATATAAGCCAATAGAAGTGATCTGTGAGGTTGGCTACCCATGCTGTTGTAAAGGGACGTGTTGCTGTGTGCACACTTTTGCCTGCAATACACGACCATCACTGGCACAATGTGCTTATCGCTTTTCCGTGAGTAAGATACACGAGGTCACTATATAGTACCATTTCTTCGCTACAAATTCGTTGCGCTAAAATCAAAATCAAACGCTACTTGCAGACGATGGACACTCGAGCCAAGAATGCAACCCATACCGAGGTCCATACCAGTGGTACCTCTAAAAAGTCTACATCTGTCGACAACGACGCTCCTATGTTGAACGCCGGACAGACCAAGCGCGTGAAATACAGCACAGCCACAGGTACAGGCGCAGCGGAAGAGGCCGCGCCACCACGGGGAAGTACGGACAAGGTACATGCGTCGCCAACATTTACAATCAAGGATCATGTCCCACAGGAGCCTGCAACGGACGGTACGGTCGACCTGGTCTTCGAGGCGCTGCCCCCGAGGCGTGCGAAAAAGCAAGCCGAGTCCAACTTACATCAAGTGCTTCATTCCCACTTTGAACCGGTATGCGGAGTGGGTGTTTTTGGACTTAAGGTCTAGTGCTTGTGTGGTAAACTTTCCCACGGTCGCAGGGGCCAAGGTAGAGGTTTACCTCTGTATTCTGCAATGTGTGACCCAGTCTTACAGCAGTAGGCTCTTTTGAAGTTTTGCTTCGCTTGTAGAGTGCAGTGTACGTTCTTTTATTCTTGATACTACTTTGGGCACGCGTTTTCAATACAGGTCAATAAGAAGAAAACCATAGGCGCAAAAACAGCCCACAAGGGCTGTTTTAAAAAAACTAAATCGACGGCGAAGCGGATGATCGAGCAACCAGACACAGTCTCTGAGATTGTGCACGCCAGAAAGAAACCCGCAACTACAACCGCAACCTATGATAAATACCTGCACGAAACGGGCGAGATGACTTCGCAGCAGGCAAAGGAGCCAATTGCGCCTTCAACGACAGCCACTGCAGAAGCTGAAGAGCCTGTATTCCAGTCACTTGCATCGGTAGGCCGTATTGCATCATAACGCAATGATATGGGTTTGAAAAGGATCAACCGATTTTCTATCCGTGTTCGCATACATATATTTGATTGTACAACTTCAGTTCTGTTATCGTTAGGAAAATTGTTTATCTCGTTATTAGAGTCGTATCGCCATTTGTGATTCATGATGCAGAGCCAAGGCAAGTTGCGATATATTCCTATTATTAAAGGCAGAAATGGTACAAATGTATGTAAATCGTAATGCCAAGTATATTCTTATACGTGTACCATGTTTCTGTAACTTTACAGACAGGAAAAACTGGGATACCTGCCACACAGACCCCGGAGGAGTTGCAGGAAATCCTGGAATGGACCTTATTGGAAAACAGGCCGAGGCGTAAGCGACATGCGCCTGCTTTCTTTTCAAAGACCCCGAAACAGAATACAAGCGGACAGGAAATTAAATTACCAGCTCACATCAACAGGTATTTGGCTCATGCAATAGTGGATTTAGTGTTACCCGGTTGCAGGGCGAGCCTGCAGTCTGTGCACGCTATGTAAACTTGTTTGCAACCCTGAAAGTCGGGCCGAATGGTTCATACGTCAAATTTTTAGTTACTTTGGGTACATGGGGGTGTTATTCGACTGTCTGTTTACTGAACCTTTACACACATCCCAGGCATACAGCGAAGAAAGCAGCGGCTCCGTCCAAGAAGGCTTCACCTCCAGTCAAGAATAACAGTCCACCGAAGCAGCTCACACTCTCGGAGCCTGCTGAAGGTGCCAACAGGGCGATGAATGAGAATCGACATGGTACTGTTCAAAACTCCATAGCCATACCCGCTTCACTTCCAGAGATTCCCGAGAAATCGTTTACCTCGCTGAAGAACACATTTGGGCAAACGCGTGCCAGTGCTGATATTTCGGTATGTCGAGGGAACAAGAATTTGTATAGGAATCGACATGATACTGTTCAAGACTCCATACCCATAACCGCCTCGCGTCCACAGATTTCCGAGAAACTTGTTACCTCACTCAAGACCATATCCGGGCAGACGCGCGCCAGTGCTGATATTTCGGCGTGTCAATGATTTCGAATTAGAAGCGACTCAGTTCCCGCATGATAACCTGCGTCGCCTATATGGCTAGTTTGTTCGGAAAGTGTGGTGTGATGAGAGCGTTTTTTCTCTGCTTAAGACACAAAGTGTGCGTCATGACGTGTTGTGTTGGTATGTGATCTTTCCAGATCCTCCGTATACACTACCTCACAAATTGCCCATTCAAATGCGCTGAACTCTTGTGAATCCAGACAAAGGATATCTGCGACCTGACTCTGGATGAGGTGGCAGAGAATGCCGCAGCATCTCTCCTGAATCATCCCGAGGAGATCAGTCAGTGGACGCTACTGGGAGACAGGCCGAAACGGAACAGGAGTGCCCCAAAGTCCTATACAGCTGATCGTACAGGGCACGGCAAAAAGAAGACGGAATCGGTTGCAACCGGCCCATCGAAAAAGTAAGTTGTATTTATATGTAGATATACAGAACAAAACTCGAGGCCTACTAGAGTATACATCCTTCCTGATAGATGAATATATATACATATATGTTGTATATATNTATATATATATATTATATATATATATATATATATATATATATATATATATATATATATATATAT